CATTGAGTTCCTCTCAGCATTTGAGATTGCTTTTTTGGATTACACGAAAACAAGGAGACACTTAAGTTGCTTCCTCTGAAAGAACAGATGGCCTTTAGAGTACTTTATCATTCTCTTGGGAAAGACGGTTCTTTAAGAGCTTTGGTCTTTTGTACATTTATGCATTTGCTTTGAGGTAATGTTTTTTTTGCTAGGCAGCTTTCTTGGAGCGAATCCACTGTACACCATTCAAAATGTTATGCAGTTTGGCAGTACTGCAGCAGGAAATGCAGCGTGCACTATATAAGGCTTGGCAGCAGGCTCAAAAGTTAAATCCTATCAACCAACCAAAGCCGGCTCATCCACATTCCAGGAAGTAACTTTGGGTTTTTCAGCTTTATGTGTATTAAGGCTCAAGATTTAGACATTTGTTCAGTAAATCCCTCAGTGAGAAAACTGTCAATGAGCTCATGAGACCGTTGGGCTTTGCAGAAAATGTTTTTAACTATGATGCCATGACCATGTGTTTGATAACTTAATAAGCAATCTTGACCAACATTTTATCTTTGAAATTTTGTGTATTTTGTCAAAATAATATTGGGATAAAAGGCTAATATAGTGTGTTGGATAAGTTAACTTAAAATGCTAAACTCAAGGCATTCAGGAATAAATCCTGCCAAAGGACCGAAAAGGACAGGTGGAAGTCCATTCTCCAGTAGTACAACAACCCTAAGGGTTTGAGTAAATAAGTGTTTTTCATCAGCTTTTGTGAGTAAGATGTACCGATGGTTAACGTTCCAGGATTAATTATAATTGCCTTGGATTAGTCAGCAGTTGTAGTCACTTCAAACAAATCCTGACATCTCTCTTAGAAATATGCTAGTGGGATTTTGAAGGGAAAAAAAAACTGCTGAAAGGGAAGGTTGTTAGTCCCCCCTCCACTCCCGGTCGGGCTCAGAAGTTCTCCCCTCTGCGGTCATCTTATGCTGGTGCGTAAAACGAAGATATAATTAGAACCCACAATGTTTTATTTCCAGTTTTATGTTGGCCCATAACTAACAAGTTTCTCAGCACAGCTACGTCTCAAATGAACCAGGGACTTTATGTGATCGTCTACATATGGAAAACAGGAAAACATGCCGGGATTTTGGTTGTTCTGGCAAAATGAAGAGCTAAATTAGCTATATTTGCCTTTTTGGGCTGAACTAAAGCAAAACTAATCAGCCTTTTTTTCATATTTTATATCTTGTTTTTTTTTTCTTTTCTCTGTATTTGAGGGACACATTGTTTTTGTCTTATTCTTATGATTTGCTAAATTTCTTATTAACGATTTGACATCAAAGCTTTACACAGTCCAAAAAATACTATGTCAATCAGTTCCAAAAGGGTCACCCACAGTATGGATTAATTCCTCACAGTCATATATTTCAAACTCTAATTATAATGATTATTGATCACATCTAACAAAAATGGTTAGATCAGCATTTCCTTGTATGATTTTTGTCAATTATAACCGAACATGCATGGATAAGAAATTTTGTTTCAGTTTGCCTGGAAGCCCTATTCAGCAAAATTAACGTATCATCTTATTTTCCAAAATTAACCAAATTCAATTAATATTACTGTAATATTTTATTAAATATCAATAATAACGAGATGATTTGAGGACTACCCCTAATATATATCTGAGCTAAGATGCCTGGAATATTTTAAAATCTATCTCAGAGATCCCTTAAAGTGCATCTTGTAAACCTATTGCTTGTCATTCAATGTATAAAACATCAGAGATATGCTGCTGTTCTGAGTTGTGAAATCAAAAACTAGGGCTTAATCTCAAGTGCAAAGATTTTGTCTAAATAATGGGTGCATTGGAACTGGATCCACTCAGCCCTTTAGCTTCAATCCTATGGTTTGACTCACACACACTTTGCTGTCACAGAAGAAAGGAGCGGAGACTAACCACCTTAGCTCGACGGTTAAAGAATGTGATGGCATTGAAACACTGTGCTTCATCGTTCTCTTGTGATTTCAGTCACATCGCAGCCCTTTTGCGCTGCACCCCCCACCCACCTCAAACACCCCCACTGCCTGCCAAGTACATAGGAAGGCAAGTCATCCAGGGCGAGTGAGGGCTGAGTCCCTGCAGAGAATCACAATGAGTCCTTCGGTGCTGTCCTTCCACAGACAGTAAAGCAGCAGCAACCTCCCCCACTCAGATTGCCACCTTGGTTTGCTTTTGTCCATATAGCTGAAAATATTTTTCTTGGTACACATAAAACAAAGCGTTTATTTTCTACAGGATTACTTAACAACATTCTTCAGGCTTAAGCATGATGAAATGTTTTGATTTAGTCTTATATAAAACTAGACATTTCTAGACCTCAAACAGCTGGAATGTTGTTTGGTCTTACGAAGATATAAAATGCTAAAATTGGCTTTTTTTTTTTTTACTTTGTGACATTTTAACTTTATTGGAATAATTTAAGATAAAGAATGGAGTCCTTTTCGCATACTACAAACAGTTCATAATATTTTGAGTAATTCTGTAACGTAATACCATAAAATTAGCAGATATAGTGCTCTCCTTGGCCTAATATATTAAGGTTAAAACACAGAATTTCACTTAAACGTGTATTGAAATAAGGATTTTTGTGTGATTGAGCATTTAATCAAAAACAAAAGCACAGGATAAATGTTAAAACCAGCTTAAGATGTGGAAAATTACACGGGAAGAATGTCATTTTAACATAAATTCTGAAACCAACTAGATTTATGAACCCCATTTAAATAAGTCCATTAAAAAAATGAAAGAAAAAGAAAAAAAGACATGTAAAAAGTTAGATATTAAATTTCAAGACAGCATTGGGACCTTTGTTTTTTTTTTTTTTTTTGACAACCAAAAAAACTTAATGTTTATTTTAATGCTTTGCAGCCAGGGCATAATTAGAGCATATTTCTAAGGTTTTCCCCTGGCAGCTTAACAATATATCAAAGCATAGAGACTGTTTAAAACCCTAAGTTGTTCCTCAAAGATTCATTTGGACTTTCTCTTTTTGCAGAGAGCCAACACGCTACAATCACCTCAGAAAAATCGGACCCACGATGAGATCACTTTGCATTGTTACCATGTAAATACTGGCAGCAACAAACCGCTAATAGGATGATGGCTTTGCTACACTTCCTTACTTGGAAGTTTAGCAAAGTTGTTGTCATCCTTGGAAAAGTATTTCTTTATATAGTTTAGTTCATTTTCTTTGTCACTTCTATGCTTTCTCCTGCTTGTGGATGAGAAAAAAGCTCAACAGAAAACTTCTACCATGTGAACTTTGTTTTCTTCAGAGAGAGAGATGCACCTATTGTGGTTTTGTGACAGTTTTCCACTTTAATGTGTTGCACAGCTCTTACATTCTGATTCGGCTTAAAAAGGATAAAATTTTGCTCTCTCAGAAATGCACAATCATTCAGATTTTTTCTTTTTTTAGGGACATCTTACTATTGCCATGCTTGACGCTCTTTTGTCTTGACAACTTCCTCAGTTGGCACAGATTAAACAAAAGACTTGGAGGTGCTCTGCTAGAGGAACATCTGATGATTCTTAAGATCAATGGAGAGCATAAATCACTTTTCAAGACACCAATTTAGAATAATTGAGGTTTTTCACACATGGAGCATGATCCTGTTTAAAGAACCCATCAGAACATGACTACACCGTGGTCATAAAGAGTTAGAGAAGGCAGGTAATCATAGTCAGGTTGGCTGTGGTATTTAAACATTCCTTAGCTGGTAGTAAGAGGCCCAACATTTGACAAGAAAATATCCTTCATACCATTATAGCACCAACTAAATGGTTGATGTGGGATGGTTCCAATTTTTGAAACGGTTAACGACAAATCCTGACCCTACGATTGAGATACTTTTGCTGAAATCCGACTAGGTGACGTTTATCCCATCTTTTATTGTTTCATTTTACCAAGCAAATGTGAATTATGGTCAGTTTCCTGTTATTTGCTGACGGAGTAGTGCCCTGTGCGGTTTTCTGATATCTTCTGCTCAATCACAGTTTTTTCCCCACTGGCATTCTGCTCTGCCCTCTGTTTTGCTTTAGTTTATTAGGATTCTTCTCCATTACAGTTATGGTTCACTCATATTAACCATACTTTAACACTATTAAACCAGACTCACCCATATTATTCACTATGTATTTCTAAGCATAGACAAATTCAAGGCTCCTTGTAACTTAGGTGAAGCCAAACTGGGACTTTTATTCAGTAATTTTGTGAACTTTTTCAGGAGATTATACAGAAAAGTAACTTTGTTTAGTAGTACTCTTGCAGTTTGGTAAACAGATTTGAGATAACTTGCATATTCAGTTCAACTTGGATTAATTCAACAGTTTTAATGTGTGAAATAGGAGCTGTCCTAACAGAGCAATTGGGAACTAAAGTTATGTTTTACCAGAGTTTTTTCTTGGTGCTTTGCAACAAAAAAAAAGGGAAAAACGTGGGAGCGGGGTCAGGGTTTTGGTGGGTCAGGAGTGTTGCTGTGGCACTGCTAGCCTGTGGTACACCTCAACAATCTGCACTGACTGGCTGCCCAGAACTACTGTGCACTGCAGCAGTTTCCCATGGGTCAGATGGTGACTGAGTGCCCAGTTATATCTTCGCAGTGACACATGAAAGAGCCTTTGTGGCTTGAATTGAAAAAACATCTTAAGGGTAATAAAAAGCTGAAAGAAATTAGATGTTTGCAATAGGAAGGAGAAACAACAAAAACAAACCTTGAAATAAAAGCCCCCACTGTTGGTTGCCAACATGGAAACCTTATTTTTTATATTCAATGTGCCTGTGAGTAGTTTGATAGAAAAAAAAATTGTCTATGCACTTAAGCTAACATTTGCTAGATGCTTGACATTGTCGATCTAAGTCATGCTTGGACAGAATAGACAAAATGTTTTATTAACTTTATATGATTTACAGCCAAATATTCATTAACCTGTTTTCTCTTACCTGTTTCTCTTTTAGGTCCTGAATCAGAAGACCCTCCAAAGACTTGCAATCCTAAACAGTTTGCTTGTAAAGACCAGGTGACCTGTATCTCCAAAGGTTGGCGTTGTGATGGGGAGAAGGACTGTCCAGATGGCTCTGATGAATCACCAGATATTTGTGAGTACACCCTCATAAACAACCAAAACTGCAGGGTTGTGTCACGTCCAGTCCAGTTAGAATTATTAGTTTTACTTTGTGCAGCTTCCTTTATCTACACATGGCAGTATAAGTTATTGTCTGCAAATTGCTGTGCAGAGACAATACAACATGGAGACAGTTTCATTTGTGCCTGAGTAAGGATGCTAGTTTTGCCCTTTCTCGAAAGGGCACTGCTTTGCTGAATTATTGCTCTAATTATGCTGCCTTGTTTAGTCTGAAAGCTCTGTGATCTGTCTACTCTCATCTAGGCTTTTTACAGTCTGAGAAGTCTAGGTTTCAGCCACTTACACTGACATCTGCCGGCCCTCGCTTATAAACTATTCTTGGTAAAAGCATTCCTTTTGTTTAAATGTAGACACCAATGGTGATTTTTACCATCTGCTTACTGCCAAACCTTACATCTCTCATGCCACAAAGCTTTTTCTTCATAATATGGAAGCAAAGACAAGCAACTGACACCAAAAATGAATGGCTAGATTATAGACATGAAAAGAAGTACATATTAACACAGAGGCAACAGCTGGTAATAACTATTGTTGTTACTTAATAACAACATTAGTAACTGCATTGGTTTTTTATTGAAAAAAATAAAGATTTTATATGTCCGCTAGAAACATTTTAGTCTAAAAAAAAATCGAATTTCATCACCTACTTTCCTCAAAAATGATTGACAGCCAGCTGCCCACATGTTGTTCTTAATGCGCTTGAATGGTGTTCTGCTTCTTTCCGTTAAAAATCCTAGGATCATACAGTTCTGCTCAGTTGATTTTTGGAATAGGGTAGCCCCTGTTCAATTCTACTGCAATGTATATTCTATGTTTTTTTTAACATTCTGAAAAGCATTACTTTTTTGCCATCTACCTGTTTTTTTAGCTAGTTAAAGGCTGTTAACTTGCAAAGATATAAAGTTTCAAAACACCCAGTTTCCTTTATTGATTTTTTATGATATAGGCAGAAAAAAATAATCACATCTACATAATTATATTGCAACTCACATGTCACACCACAAACCAAAAAGGTACATACTAATATACATTTTTTTTTTTTTAGAAATAAAGTCCTTTAAATTGATTATTTAATTAATGATTTAACCCTGTATTAGATCAAATCAAGTTCTACTTTTTTATATACCACATTTACTTCGATCATACTAAGATAATAAAAAGTAACTGTTAATTACTTTAACCAGTAACTACTAACTATTTTGAGTGTGCAATAACTGAGTTACTTATCAGTTCCTTGCTGATGTTAAGTGAGCTGACTAATAAAGGCCTCTCCACTGGCTGCCTGACATTAATCAGTTATATAATCATAAAGTCTTTGCTATGACAGCCAAACACACAGAGTGAGAGGAGATCTGAACTTTTAAGTACTTTGAAACTACATCCTCTGACTCACTGTGGGCCATTTGCATGGCTAAATTTAGCATCCATTTTAAATCTTTCTAACTAACCTACTATTTCACAATTTCAATAATGGGTAGAAAAAACTGATTTTTAGAAAAGATGCCATTGATCTGTAATTACAGAGAAGACAGCGTTTGGTTAGCCATTAGCTACTAAAAACACTAAACGTAGCATCTCCTTGGCTACTACTCACAATGCTTAAAGGCTGTTTGGATTTTGTTTCTTCTCTGTTTACAAAATTGTTTTTGCGTCTACTGCAACAGGCTTAGAAATTGGCTTTGATGACGCTGAGGTTTACATTTTGTTCATTGCTAATTTAAATGGCTATTTAATACTTCAGGCACCTAGTTTGATCGGGCCCTAAATCTCAACACCTATTTGCAGTAACTAATTATTGAGTGATCCAGTCTTTGATTAGTTTCAAATGAAGTGTATAAAATAGCTATCAACACACAAATTTTATATTATTTAAATCTAATCCAAACATTTAAATTTTAACCGAAAAGGTTATCTCACCAGTGTTTATCCTTTCTTCAACAGAAAGGTTGCATGTCTTTCTTTCATCTGGGCAAACTTTTTAATAACTCTTGTCAAAGTCTAATAATCCATGAATTAATTAGTTATGAATTTAGAGCATAGCCAGTGCATTAAACCTTTGTTGCCCTTTAGTTTTTTGTATAAATTTCTTGGGCTCTTTTCGGCATTGAAAAGTTCATCTCTGACTCAGCAGTGATCATTGGTGTTGTGATAACAATTTTGAGCTGTAGCACAGTCTCTGAAAAGAGATCATGTAGGTTGTTATCATATATAAACTGCAGCAGAGACTGGGCATTTCCTGTATGCAACTCTGAATTACTGTATACCGACTTCAGATCAGTTCCAGGCTTTACTTTCTTTCCAAGAACTTGTGTCTCATGAGTGGCAACAGCATCCCATTCAGTCTCTGTTCGTATTTTTTCTACTTCTTGATATCCGCACGGTTCTCCCAAAAAGGATTTAGAGTTCTGTTTTTAAAAAATTCCACGGGCGTTCAGGTTGGCCTTAGTCCTCAACGCGGCCGACCCGGGTTTGAATCCGGCCTGTGGTCCTTTGCCGCCTGTCTCTCCCCCTCTCTTGTATCTCCTTTCCTTGTCAGCCTACTGTCAGGAAAAACTGGGTGGCTGGTGGCCTTGAGATATGCAAATTGGATGTCTGTGTGCACCAATTATTTTAGGAGAGTTAAAGAAAAATGTAAAAACAGTCAAATCGACAAAGAAGATTTTCAGATCTGTAGTTCTTGTAGAGCAAGCTTGCAGCAGAACCAGATAAACTGGTGTGCTTTTCAATGCACAAATTGCACATTTGAATACAGTTCTTTAATCAGTGTCTGAATTCCAAAGATGTACCCATTCATGACTGCCGCATGATCATCAGTTTGAGCAATCAACTTTTTTCTTCTAAACCTAATGGCTGGATGGCTAGGTTTATCTCATTCAAAGAGCAGGCATGTTTAAAGAAACACTTGGCGTTAGCCCCTTGACTGTCTACTACAAACTTGTAGGACATACTCTTGTTGTAGTTGGATTAGTTATTTTAACAAACGTTGATGGACTGGCCCGGCGGCCAGAGCACCTCAGGCAGATTTAGTTCCTTATCGTATTGTGGCAAAGATTTAGCCCTACATATAGAACATGTTAACAAGATATTCTTACTGGTAAAGAGTAAGTTATTTAAAGAATATCACTCTATAAAGTAGAGGGAGTGGTGACCTAGTGGTTAGAGCGTTGTGCTTGGGTCTTGGAGGTTCTGAGTTTCAGTCCCATACACTCCAACAGACTGCCACTCCGGGTCCCTGAGCAAGACCCATAACCCCACACTGCTCCCCAGGCGCCGCATACTGGTATCCCACTGCTCCCCAATGGGATGGGTTAATGCAGAGAGTTAATTTTGTTGCTTTGTACTTGTGATAGTGCAACAACAATAAAAAATTAATTCTTTTCTATCCACAGAATAGTAATCCTATTACTTATTAATAAAGCATAGAGGTCCACAGCGACATCTGGTGGCCTAAAATGCAGAGATGCCACAGGTGTGTAACAGCTCATATGAGTATTGTGTGTGTGCCCTTCTGACAGAAGTCTGATTTCATATGATCTCGTCTCAAGAGCCGGATGTGTTGTTACACCCGACAAAACCTTTAGTGGATAAGGAAATAATCTGTTTGGTTATGTAAATACCAGCGATCTCAGGCGATTTCATCTAAGTGTGCAACACCTAATTCATTCACTCAAGCCATATTCATCCAGTTTGGGCTCTTTTATGTTAGGCAGCTGAACTGAATGAGTTTTCCATAGCACTTATGTAATTTAGTGAGTCAGACAATGGTGTGATTCATCCTGTGCAGGGAGAAGAGGAGGGCAGTGTTTTACCAGAACATCAAGATATGTTCTGCTCAATTACACTTTCACACTGGTGCACTGCACTGCTCGACCAGCTGTTTCACTTTTTAGTACAGGGGCTTCCTCTCCACCATTAGTTTTCTGAGTCAGTAATAACTACCTGATATTATTAAATGTCTTTCTTCATAGGGTTCACCCTATATGAGACTTAAAATGTATGTGTCTTAAAATGTATACAAGAGTAAAACACTTTGGAGAACTTTTTGTCTAGGAGTTTTTTTTTTTTCTGCTTATGTTGTTTTCAGGTCCCAGTTTTTTTTTTTATTGAATTTTCAAATCCAGTTTTTTGTTAAGCCAATGTTCATTCTGGGCAAACTGATTTTGTTCTAACCATTTGCAAATTGAAACTGCTGTTTCACATTGTTAAATATGCAAAGGAATTTTTTTTGAAGGAATATTTTGAGTTTAGTCTAAGTAAAAAGTGTAAATCACCACCTTTATCAAGATGCAATGTTGTATCTAGTTGTTCAGATGACTATACAATGTTTGCAGGTATCACAAAGTCTGTCAAGATGTTCCATCCAATTCACTACACTAATCTGGCCATCTAACATTTATTTAAATTGACTTCAACTCAAAAAAAGAACTATATTATTATTTGACCATTTTAGATGTATTGCTATGTTCAAGCCGCACACATTTTTGATGCTTGTACACCTTTAGTTCTGACGCACGGCTGAAGCATCTTTGCTGCTTGAGCTGCGTTTAACAGGTGGATCTGATGCGTTTTGGGTGCAGCTACCCTATCCTTTCATCGCCTGTAATATTGGCGGATGAGATCGAGAGGCTCGCTTGGCTTATTTTAATGAATAATTCTACATTCAGGCCGCAAGTACTGGAATCAGCCACACAGCTTCTGCTGCTTCATTGCTGACCTGGTCGCCTCTTCAATATTTTCCAATTCTGTTCGCGACGATTTTAAGGTGTTTTTAACAGTAACCAAACTGCATTCACCAGAATAAGAAAATCGAACATGTTTTGCCAGCAGGTTTCGACATTTTAAGTTAATTTAGCTGTTAATAAACTATTTCAGAGGAGTGATCATAGCGATGTGCAACTGCAGCGCTGTGTCTGTCTCCCTGCCAGCCCCAAGATTAGCTGCTCTGATTGGTTC